TTTTTTTTTTTTTTTTTTTTTTTTTTTTTTTTTTTTTTTTAATTTTGAGGTCCCGTTATATGTGAGTTCTCATTAATCCTTCGTTATTTATCATTAGCATTTTTAGGCTTTTATTTACGTGTCATTTTTCTAACATCCAAACATTTTCCACTTCTTTTTTTCTCTTTTTTTTTCTAATACATGTTTTCACAAAATATTGGTTTGATTCCGCACTTCTATTATCATTGCATGGATTGATTCTGCAATTCCACTATCATTACAGGGAATTTCTTTCCTTTGCAATTACAGAAGGTAGTAAATTTCAATTTTTGTGTAGGATTCTTGTATAAATCAAACTTATTCATTCTCAGCTCCACCTAAACATGAACGTCATGAATAGGAAAAGTCCCTACTGACCATGGATCTTCACAGAACAATTTCCATTCTCGCATGCTTTGATTTGCTTTTATTCATCATTAGCTTTGTAACACAGCGTTCTGTTCTCTTTACTGGTATCCCCAGTTCTTGCCTTGAGGTCCTTGCCTGTTGTCCCCTTTCTTCGTCCTGTTTCCAGTTTGTTTTCGGAGCTGTATTTGATCTCGTCTTTAGCTCCGTTTAACTGCACTCCCCAACAAACGAGCACTTCAGTCCCTCTCTCCGATCCTGGATCTGCGCATCTCAAACCGTCACATGGTCTCCACCTTCCATCGACCATCTCATTCTCGTTTTCCAGCGTCCCGGGGGAAATTACCCTGCGTTCGGTGGCATCATACCAAGCAGACAGCGAGGTGTTTCACACGCAGAAAAACAAAAATGTCTCTCAGGTCATGTGTTGCTTCAAGGCTGCTAATTTTTCCTCAACATCCATTTCTATGGCGAGCATAAAATTCATATAAGCCCCATTTCCCATAAGTCCTAGCCCCGTTTCCAACTTCTATCTCCAAGTGAGATCTCAGTCAATAAGCCGCCCTTACCTTCACATTACCGAGGTATCTGATGGTTTTGTGGAAGGCGTCGAAAATAAAGTAATTCCGTTGCAGCTGTTTAAAACTCGAAACCATATCAGGACGAGCATTAAGCAACTGTCCACCTACCAAATCCAGAATTATCACCAGACCAGCCAGTACTGCGGAACCTAAAAATTTTGCAGTTACTAAAACTGTTGATCTGCTGAGCCGCGAAAGCAAATCTCGATGACTGAGGATATGGCAGGGCATGGAGTAGGGGAGATGGGAAAAAGGCGAGGATTCTGGGTGCTGGTTTAGGTTCCGGGGGTCGTTGCTGAGGGAAGAGGACTAGAGATTAGGGAGGGGCTGGGACTTTATTTAAAAAAAAAAACTGATTGGACAAAATAGCACGAAGAGAACGAGGTACTAAACTGATTGAATAAAATAGCATGAGGAAAACGATGCGTCACCACAATTCCCTTTTGTATTAACACTTTAATTCGTTCATGAAATTTTATGCACACGTTTTTCACGCACCGAGCAAAAGCTAGGGCTGAGCCGGGGTTTGAACCCGGGACCTCTCGCACCCTAAGCGAGAATCATACCACTAGACCACTCAGCCATCGAGCCAACTGCGCAACACTTCCAAGATATGGAAATTGTAAGTCAAGAGGTACATTTGTTCCTATCAAGTTTGAATTTTTTACATGAATTATTCTCAGATTTTTGCCCTTGCAGTATTAAAAGGGAACTGTACGACAAAAAAAGCTTTTCAAAACAACTAACACAAAAATGCTGACGGATACACCATCTAATAGTAAATATCCTTACACTGGTGCTCCAATTACGATCCTGATTAAGCCAGCCAATCCCTGGTACCACTGATTTGGCAGTAAATTCGTCTTTGCCCACGACTCTGATTTTGAATTGTTATATACTGACAGCTTCCTAGTCGATAGAGTAACTCGTCATGCTCCGAGAGCGGTAACGTTCGGGACAAGGTGGTAATATGCTCAGAATACAACAAAGACG